AAAAAATTATGTAGAACTCTATCAGCTAGTTTGGATGAATTGTTGATTAATAAGTAACAAAAAACGTTGAGCATATGATTCAAGTAAATTGTGATCGACAAGATATTATATTAAAATGTAACATCCATTTCATTCCTATAACTGACCGTTTATTTGATGTCATGTAAATTACTATAGTAAAAAAAATAGGAGAGGATGGGAAAGACTTTTGCCCACTACTGTGTATCAAGAGAAGAAAAGATATATATCTATATCATTCATGTCATCTATGTACGATAGCAAAACAAAACAAGGGGGAAGGGAAAATACCATATATAACTGAGTCCCACTATAACACATTAATCCAGTCATTTTTCTATGGGTATTTTTCCACCCGTGGGCAATTATTTATAGTGTTAAATGACATAAAGAAAACATATTCTACGATGGCCGTATAAATATATATAGGTAAGTGGCACATAGAATAATCGCAACATACCGAGATTATTTTTTACTGCAATTCAACAAATGGGTTTCATCTTTCGACTGGCAATATTGTTCATCATTGGTGGTAAGCATCATTCAGATTTCTCTTATTTATGCTCAGTGTTATTTGTATTTGTTCGCAGCTGTAGTAGTATCCGGAATAACTATTGAATTTCATAATGGTCTTGGTTTTCCAATTCAATTAGTTGTGACACAAAATAACGTCGCACCTCGACACGTAACTACAATTCCAACAGGGTAAGTTTTACAGGAAGCTATACGTCAAATGATCTACTCTATTTGCCTTTTCTCATTTTCCAGTCGACATTTTTCATACTATTGCCCGCAAGGATTTGCTGGAAATTTTAAACATGGGTGGGCTGGTAAAGGTGTAACACTATTCGAAATATCTGTTCGAACACATGACGCTAACACTTATTATGATTTGAGTGTCATTGATGGTTTCAATGTACCGATGAAAGTTTATGCTCCAGATGGGTAAGAAAGCTACAAATATAAGTTTGTTGGTAATTTGATTTGTTTCTTTCAGAACAAGAATTCAAGCTTTACATTCACAAGCACCAGATGCTTATCTATATCCGACAGACGATAGCAAAACACATGGTTTACGTGGAGATGGAAAATTCGTGGTTGTATTTGAATGGTAAATGATCGAACAAAACTTTTTTCGATATGAAAATCAACATTTTGGTCTTTGACAATGATAGGCTGATGTGTTTTGATCAATACTTGATGAGTGATCTTTCTATCTATTTTGAGTTATTTGTTCACTACTCTAAAATAAAAATAAAAATTAACCACGAATACAGTTGATTCATTTTCGATTATACACGATATTATTTGTTAGCATTGGGTACTTACTTTGTTGTGAAAAAGCAAAAGGAATATGTACAGGGTAGGTAAAAATGTTTTTTCCAGGGGGTAATGCTGTGATTTCACATAACATCAACAACAAATTTTATACCAAATTGAAGTGAGCGAAAATAGGATTTGTTAATGCTAAATAGTAATGATTATGGCAACTTTTTAGTATTGAATTCAGGAAATTTCTAAAATCTTACGTCATATCAGCAAAGAAAATTTCCTTTTGTGAAGTAGTTCATGTTAGATCTTACATAAAATGATGAATATCAATAGGTAATATTTATTTTTTAAGATTTGATGAATGTAGTCAATAATCAGTGTGACGACCATTGGCGTTTTTACAGCAGAAAGATGGGACGGATACGATCATAAAATAATTTGATATAGATTATTGTTTGTTCCTATGTTTGCCAAAACAAACGAAATATGTTTTATTTTAGAGTTTCTTCATCATAGCGATTTCCGTTCCGTCTCTTATAGCAATTTTCTTCAGCTTCATTTTTGACTATTTTTTCAATATTATCTTACTATCAGCGCGAATCAGAATTAAAGCATTGTTTTATATGTTTGCACATGTTTTATTCATTAGTCTTAGACGAATGACTATCAGAAATTTTTTTTTTGTATATAGAATCTCTTTTTGTTTCTCCATAAAACGACACAAAAAGGATTTACACTTTCTAATGCAATAATACAAAAACACTGTTAAAGAAACATAATAAGTTGTTTGTGTACGGAAGTTATTTATATTTTCTTTCCATCTAAAATGAGATGCGATTTTCTGATACAAATCGATAAATATCAACAATGTATGGTGGGTCAGTCATTGTAATTATTTCATCACCCGTCTGCATATTAGTCACTTCCTATTCCTTTTCGATAAAACTAAAACGTAAATATTTTAGTTGATGTTCATTAATATGAGTGAAAATGAAAGCAATCCATTTGCCAACATTACACTGAATGAAACGTAGGCATTCTAATCGAGGAAAATGACGTTTGTTAATAACGAAAGAAAGAAGTGGAATCATCACTTCTTCATTCAAATGTTTATCTATAATAGACGGACATTCTATATGTAGTCGATCAAGACGTTGAAGAAAAGCATCAAGATATTCATTGTCATGACCATTAGTAATCCAATAATTCAATTCATTTGTACTAACAAACAAACATTTTATATTCGGTAATAAACGAAGCCAGCCAGTTAATTCTGCAATGAAAAAATGTCAGTAAAATTCAGAGATAAGTTTTACGACAAAATTCAGTTAAACTTCCACACAGAATAAAAGTCCATCTCTACAATTATAAGTTTTGTGCAAAAAGACAAGCGATCCACTTTGTGTAAGATGGATCAAAATCGGTTAGAAGTGCAAGAACTTGTTAGCACTGGTTATTCAGTTTATTCATAAAAACAACAAGAGGAA